TTTACTTGAATAATCCATCTCAAATTCGAGCTTGCTTAAGCGATGTAGGCTTGCTTAAGTGATCTTGTACAAACAACGTGATGCGTAATAAACAGAAGTCACTTAAGGACCAATGCTAATTTTCTTTTTACTTGAATAATTTGTCTCAAATTCAAGATCACTTAAGCGAGTAGGCTCTTGCTTAAGTGATCTGTACAGATAAGCCATGATCGCTAAGCAATCAAGGCCAGTTTTCTGTACTTAACCATTCATCCAAATTTAAGGTCACTAAGCGATGTGGGCTCTTGCTTAAGCGTACTATACTGATAAACCATGATCGCTTAAGCGATACCAATTTATTTGTATTTAACATTTCCTTCTAAAATTCATGATCGCTTAAGCGATCTTGTGCAAATAAGCCGTCATCGCTTAAGCGATAGACAACTCGCTTAAGCGACCAAGGCCAATTTCTTTTTACTTGAATAATCTGTCTCAAATTTTAGAAAATTAGTTTAAGTGATGTCACAAACAATAACATCTTAATGTGAATTAATTTAGAGCACAGTAACATCTAATATGATGAATTTAGTAGCACAATAACATCTCAATTATGAATTAATTTATTAGCAAAATAACATCTCAATATTGAATGAATTTAGTGGCATAATAAGAGCAACAATAAGTAACTACAAGCATCCTTAATATCATCTATTCAAAACTTCGAACAAAAAGATATCCAATTGTCAACATAAAAATTGAAAACAAGAAGTTACACAGTTGGCCTTGGCAACTCTCTTGATTCACTATAAAGTCTTCAACGATTGGCCTTGAAAACTCTCTCTATTTCATCCTTCTTCTTGATGGCATAGCTAGAAATACAAGGGCATAAAATCAGTTTAATGCACCAAAAAGATTGACATACAGCAAGAGAAACTACTGAACAAGTAAACGAATAGCATCTAGGTGTCTATTACCTGTTAAAAGAGCAGCATTAATAAGTTCATCAAGTCGCTTAAGCGATTGGTGTTCATAGATCTGATCGAATAGCAGATTGCTTAAGCAACAATAAGCGATCTGTTGTTCAGATCTGCAGATAAAAGCAGATCACTTAAGCAAACTGATAATGCCAAGTTGCTTGCTTGCTTGCTTCTGATCGATTCGAAGCTAATTTTCTTGACTACATTGATCAATTCTGGAAACTACTTTTCTTGTGGCCAGGTTGCTTACAAATTAAGCACTTATTCATCCTCCGGAACCTCACGGGTGATGGAATACGCTTAACTCTTTTTCTTCCTTTTTTTGTCTTCTTGAATGGCGAATGAATGATATGTCAAGCAACTTGGCAGCACCACCCGCTCTTTTGGAGGAACTAGATATATCGTTTCTGAATAAGCCAACGTGTAATGGTTTGTCATATACAGAAGGGAGCAAATTCTGTAAATTCTTGAACCAAAATCTAGCTTACATTGTTTTATAAAGAGCTAGTGCATGAGGACAAGGTAAATGTTGAATGTCAAGCACTTTACAGCTGCAAGTTTACCGAAAGTTAATTAGGGCATCGGACCATAGTGCGCACATGGTAAACTCTTAAGCATTCAGAGGATAAGCAAACAGTGCATTTGACAGTTCCACACGTTCTCGCAATAATTTTTCAACCAACGGAACTAGGATTGTGGTAAAATTACTGAATCCGTACGACGCTCATGGAACCACCGTGACAACGTCCTCTGTATTTCATCAAAAAGGGCAATAATTGGAAACTTCTTTTCTATTAACAACTTCGAATTTGGACTTAGCTAGTTCGTGGGCATAACATGAACTTTCCAGGAAAGTAAGCTTACTCATGCTCGAAACCAATATCATGCTCAAGATACTTAGCAATTTTATCATCCTTGATTCAGATTTGCTGGAAGTGCTCCCGAACTCATCAACTCGATAAGCTTTTGCTATCATATAGTATGTCTGAAGGAGACCAGCACACTTAAACTTAAGCCTATTTAAACTCGATAAGCTTTTGGCTCATTCAAACTCATGATGTGCTAGAGGGTAAATAGTGGCAATCCTCTTCTTTATAGAGTTGTGCCTATTGGATATTATGCACAAATCATCACTGTTAGACAATATCGTAAGTAATTGCTTAAAAAACAAGTCTACGACTTGTCGTTCTCAAAGTCAACCACACTCCATGCGATGGGATATGTGTGGATTCTCGCAGTCCTAGCAGTAGCCACAATAATGTACCCCATACTTTCCCGTCAAAAAGCAACAATCAACAAATAACACCTTTCTCATGTTTACAAAACCCTTATAGCAGCACTGTAAGCAACAAAAAAAAAATATTAACCTCATATTATTGTCCCACTTCAAAGCCGTCTTGCTACCTTGGTTTGTCAATCAATCCTATAATGTACGATTCTAATATGCATACCTGTGCTTGATGCCCCTCATAAAATCTTGTGCATGTTGTCTCCCTTTCCAGCATTTCCAGTAAACTGACATCACATCCCAATATGCGTACATATCTCTGAATGTCCTTAGGAGAGGACCTCCCTTCAACAAAATGACTTTTGACAAATTGTCTAATAAACATCAGCGAATGCTTGTCAATGCTCACCTGAAATATGTCCCAACCCACCCATAAGTGTGTTCACGTGTATATGTGCTAAAAATAAATTTTCAGACTGTAGCAACCTTCTACAATAAACCCGCCACTTGCACTTTCGGTCATAAAATGCAACCGTCACTACTGACAAAATATGACTTTTTAGTGATGAACTAAAAATTACCTCTCACGGTAACAAGTTTTAGCTTCCTCACCACTTCCTCCTGTTGTCAAATAAATACTTTACACCAAGTTTGATCCATCAGTAAAAACATGAGGTGATGCATACTACCCGCAATTGCCGCCTCTGAACCTACATAAGGACCATAGTGTCTCTGTTAGGAAACGATCAAGTCATGGCAGTGGGAAACAAAAATTATTTACAACATGGATCGTTCTTTAGAACCAAGACAGGGCACAAACTTACAGTTTATACATTATATTAGAATCTGCGAAATTCAGTCTAGAGTTAAGAAATCATACGCACGTTTGAAGGCTCTCCAACTGTCTTTGAATGGGTTTTGTACCGACCAAAGAGTAGGATCGAGCTATGTATCCACACGAAGTAAACCTCATGGAACTAAAGAGGATTTGCTAGTTCCTCTTTGGCCTTAGAACCAAGAACAAACAAGCAAATTTTGTTTCAAGCTAAAAGGCAATCTGGCATGGGAGAGAAAAGGGGGCCAGAGGTTTTTCTTTTGAATGAAATAAAATTAATTGAATAATTTCACAAAGTGTACATTATATAGTGGCACACTATGCCCTATTCTATCATGGAATGAGCTTGGGCACGAACCCAAACAACCCCTATGTCCAAAAAGCCCCCATTTAGATATTTTAATTTACTTATCATTATTTCAATTAAATTAAATTAATATATAGTAACATTTAACAAAACGTAATTCATTAAATATATGCGAACACATATTTAAAACTAATTTACTTATTAATTTTATAACAAATTAAATAAAGGCTACAACCTCAGCAAATTTAATTGCACTGTAAATACCAAGATACCCTTTCACCTAAAAAGAAAAAACGCCATTCTTATAAACTGGTTTATAAATTATCTTCTATGTGTGTGACCCGTAGGCTCCTTATCATACCGGTAGTGTGAAGTACGCAATTAACACAATAATCGTCTCACTACACACAGACCAAGATTGACCCCTAGCAAGGCATCATGGCCACCCGATAGATGCGGATTCAGCGAAGTAGCTACCTGTCAACGATATAGGTACCGTACAATCTAATCCTTTCATCATCCATTATCTCAACGAGACGAGGCATAGAAATAGTGTTAACTCAGTTAATCTCAATATGTATAATTCAGTTACTGGACCAATGACGAATTATAAACTAGATCGAGCAATAACTCAATCCCACTGTGGCACAGTTTTAGTGTCATTGCCATTTACTGATTGTGCTGTGAGATAACTTCTCCCGTACCTGGGGTGATGATCCTCTATCGATCCACTATAGTCTTGATACACTCCTTGATGCAGCCAATCACTACCGTATGACAGCTCTAATAAAAACGCGTTGGGCTAGTGTCAAACTGCACCAATCGGTGCACAAGGAGCTTCGGTGATCTCAAGTCTAAGGATCACTGCACCACCATTCGTTACGATTTGTTCCATGGACACTAGGGTTACCATCCATATGGAATCCTCTAGTGGTCAGTCCAATGAATTTGCCTATAAACAAGCACCTTGTATTGCACCAGGTTGTCACACAAATAACCTGACAAGTGAGATCAGTCACTGCCTTTCGACAAGGTGTTCAACACTATGATAGCCTTACCATATTGTTTGTGCCCTTACTTCAAATAATATGAGGCTACGGACATTTATAAATGGCCCCATAGTGCTCATAGGGTTTTCACTATCAAGATTTGAAACACTTGATACCTTCGTCAGGTTCTACCATTCTAAGGACATAATCAATATATACAATGAGATTTACGCAATAGAATAAAATGTTTTATTGATCAATGAACATTATTACAAAGAGTTCAATTCTACATAATTCGATGGGCTTCTAATCAAAATATCGACCCGATAACGTTACCATACTCATGTGTAGTATGACGCATCATACTACAATACTGACTTGATAACATTACCAGATCGATATTTTGATTACAAATAAGAATGTTATGGTTTCCTATAACAATGTTTCCATAACCGCCATCTAAAGTAGTTAAATATATGGTAACTGAAACAAAAACAAAAAAATTGTTATGATAACTAAAACATTGTTACATGTAATCAAACACATGCTACGCGTAATAAAAAAAAATCAGTCTAATACATTATCAGGTTGGTTACTTAGCAAATCCCTAGTATGACCCATGTAAATAATAATCAAAACACTAACAAAAACCGACATGAAGAAAGCAAAATGAAAACGCAAGAACCTTCAAAAGGGTAGATTTCCCACACCCATTTGGCCCAAGAAGCATCCACAACTGCCCAGAAGGAACAGAAAGCGAGCAGTCCTTTAGAATTGGCACCAACTTGCGCTGCCTTGTAGTGATGGAGTAGCTAAGATTTTCACATTCAATGGCTTCAGCTTTCTCAGTGACATCAGTCCTGCACAAACATACATAAATAAGCTTAAACATAGAAGCAAAAGACAGAAAATTACAAAGAGAAACACAAAAAAAATTAAAAGACGGAAAAAAATTGGCATAAATGTGTTTGAGAAAATGCCTAGCTGAAAAATTATGGTTAAGTTTGGACCTGGAAGGAAGGTTGGCGTGGATTGGAGGTACTAGCGGAGGTGTAAAGGCCGGAAGGAGAGAACAGAGATTCATGGTTTGTGAAATTGAGCTCAATCATATCTCATTTTCTCTGCCCACAGGGTTTCAGAATTGTGCTTGTGCAATTCGTTTTTTGGGTTGGGTTGAATTAATCACTGTTTGAGGAAAGTAAAACTACTATAACTTGATGAAAAGAGGAAATTTTATTGTGACCTCTGAAGTTTGCAATTGAGAAAGTAGCCTTCAAATTACTTTGCATTTTTTTTTTTTAAGTTTGAAAAACTGACCTGGCACAGTTAAGAATCACTTAACATGCAAAAAGGGTTAGACCGGAAAGATTTAAACATATATGAGTAGTAGTACAATTAATGGAAATTTGTTTAAATTTTGAAAATTAAAACACGCTCCCCTTCAAAATCGATTAAGCGACGGACTCAACCCAAAATAAGTGATAGACAAAACACCTGACTTCTCTCTTGCGATTTTCGTTCCCATTTTCCGACAAATCTTTGCTCTTTGGATTTTCTTTTCCTTGTTAGTTACACAAACAAACAATGACTAACATTAACAAATCTAAGGAAAACCCAACCCCACTCCTCAAATTCTATAGTCCGACGACTGTTCAAAGGTTGTAGAAGAAGAGGTTCTGGTGGAGCTTTCGATGAGTGAAGTTGCTTTACCAACAGAGGACATGTCGGTGACAGAAGAACAGACAACAAGCTCCGTAAATGGGTCTGAAAACAAGGACGTTGACATAAATTCCGATGAGTAGGAAGAAGAACAAGTACTTTCCTTACTATTTTATGAAAAAATTGTTTGTTGGTGCCAATTTAGGGGGTATTTAGTTGGTGTTGGTTATTAGGGTGGTTGTGGTATTTTGTCCAGCAGTTGGCAGGCTAGAGGGAGTGGCTGTTTTTGGGTTCCAAAGGATAGGGGAAGGCATGGGAAGCCGTAGGGACGTTGTTTGTGGGAGGTTGGAGGGCTGGATTTGGCAAGAGGGGGCAGAATAGAGGGGCTAAGGGTTGCCTTACATATTGCAAGGCTAGCCACGCGCAGCTACCTGTGGCCAGCCCTGTAATATGGAGGGCAGCCCCCAACCCCCCTATTACACCCCCTCTTACCATCCCTAGCTAGCCATCTCCAGCCATCAAAACTACTACAACAGCCTCTGTAGGGCCTGCCTTAGCTTCCCCGGTCCTCTCAAAGCCAAAAACACCCACTCTCCGATGCCTTCAAAGCCCATATCCCCCCCAACTGGCAGCCTATTGGTTGTTTTGGTTTTTTTTTTTGCTGATACTTATTTTATATTGATTGTGTAGTGTTGCTAAAGCATAAATTATAAAGATTATGGGTTGGAGGTTGTAACCGATAAGATACCATACGTTCCTACAAGGGTAACAATTAGGTCGAGTTGACAAGTGTTTATGAGGATAAATAAGATTTTAGGTGGACAAAAGAGGGATATGGACCGATTTAAAGATAGTTGTTTCAGTTATTTTGTGGACATAGAAGAGAATTGGAATAAGGCGTTCTAGAGGCAGGCAACACATTATATGTTGTTGCACTCAGTTAAAAGCAAAAAAAGAAATGAAATGTGGTTCGTGGTGGATGGGAAGTCACTACGTTTTGGGATGATAGAATTTGCCTTGATGACATGTCTAAGAGGTAGGGCATTTCCAGAAGCGGAAGAGGAAGAGAGAATAAAGAAGAGTACGGTCGTCAAAACCTTTGTTAGAAAGTTTTTTTTTTTTTTTTTTTTTGGGGGGGGGGGGGGGGGTGTGCAATCGTCTATTATGGCATGTGATTTAAAGGATAGATTAGGAGAAGAAGGCTATACCTCTTTGGAGAAGTTCAGGACGTGCCTAGTATGGTTTTTGCATTCCAACCTAATGGCTTGTGACTCAACAAAAGCGATTAATCTGGATTCGGTGCAGTTTGCAAGCAACCAGGAGTTCTTTAATGCTTATCTGTGGGGAAGGTTATCATTTCAACTATCCACTGATTCCCTATGCAGAAAAGACATGGCGATAAAGCATCGCCAATATGTTAAGAAGGAGAGACCAAGCACTTATAATTTGTTTGGTTTCCTATGGGTAATGCACGTAAATATTAATAGCTTTTTGTTAGATTTTTTGTATTATATGTGTTTTAATTTTGATATGGACTATTTTGTTTATAATATAGGCTTGGATGTATGAGGTCGTCCCTGTCCTGGCTAAGGCAGGAGGGGCGGAAGGAGACTTCGGATGAACCACTGCAATTTCCTAGGATGTTGCAGTGGCACACCAAGAAGTGTGCCCATTAGGACTATGACAAAATAGAAATGAAAATTAAGTGGCTTAGGTAAGATTAAAGGATTATTCTTTTGAATATGTATTTGCTTTTAAATGTAGCTTAAATTTGATTGATTTTTTTTCTTATTATAAGGAGTCGTCCGTCCATTCATCACCCCTACTAGGGGTGAATTGGGAGCGAATTATATTACATCGTTTGTATCACTAGACGATATAACAGATGAGGGGATATACCACCTAATGCGAGACTTAGAAAAGGTCACACATTTGACTGTAGCTGCAGGGCCACTAGTTGAGCATGTGGTTGAGGCCGAAGCTATCGTCGGTGGGAGGGAAGAGGATGAAGAGATGGATGCTAAGGTTCGTATGCCTCCACCCAATTGGAAAACCAGTACAGCAAGTGCCAATTTGCCGAAGTGTCGAGAGAATGAGGTGGTTGACCCCATAAACAGTCTATTTGATAGCTTTAGAACTGCGTTTATGAGAAGTTTGAGAAGATGGAAGAATGGATGGAAAGGGTGGAGGAGAAAATTGATGGAGTTTTGAAAGCGGTTGAAGTGCAACCTCAGCAAAAAAAAGAGAGTCGAAAGAGTAAGCATGTAAAATCTTTTTTCATGGAAATAAAGTATGAAAAGAAGAGGAGAACGAAGAAAGAAAAAGAGGAGGTCTATGAAAGTGGAGAAGCAGAGAAGGAGGAGGGCGAAGGAAGTGAGGAAATGAAATCAGAGGATTAAAAGGTTGATTTGTACAGGCCAATAGATGAGGAAAAGAAAAAACTATTCTATGCCTATTACAATGAGAAAGAAAGTGGTGGTTGTGAGAAGTGCAAGACCGAGGGATTATCCCCGGGAGTGATTTGAAAAGATGTTGACAATGGGTGGTTGACTCGATGACTCTGTGAGTTATTTTCCTGTATTTTTTCTTATGTTTCCCATGAGGTATTTATGTGATCGCTTAAGCGATCTATGTGCAAAAAATAGATATGTTGTGTCTGGCAAGACCCTTATCATGTTGTTTTGATTTGATGCAGCACATTGATGAGATATTGACACTGATGAGGGTTCGACAAAGCACCAATGCCGATATCTTTAATCAAAATAGTGCCATCATGGATGTCTCATTTGGCCAAAGCTTAGTGAGCATCTATGAGATGTTAATCACAAAGGCCAAGAATGAAGGTGCAACAAGGGGAGGCAAGTGGAAAAGAATGGCCATAGAAGAGTTTGATTGTATCCTGGCTGAGTATCGATTTGATGAGAGGATAATACAGTACACACGAGGGGAAAGGCCTAAATATGGCAATAGTTGGGCTAACGCGAAAAGGGTGTACTACATCATGAACATCAAGATGATGCATTGGCTAACCGTCGTATGGCAACTCAATGAGGGCTTGTTGAGGATCCTTGATTGCAACCTGACTATTTGTCAGGAGGTGAAGCTAGAGACAGAGATGTAGCCGCTATGTCAGTTATTCCTACGATTGTTGTGAGACAGCGGCCTATTTGAGCACTTGGGTGATTCATTGCTGATGGGAAAGTAGCCACACAAGCGTGTTTCTATCCCGATTAATGACGCAAGGTAAATTGTCTATAAAACTCACATATTGCTATTGTTCTATAATCTAATTCTAATAGTAACGTCTTATGGATATTGAAGTGCTGATTATGGGGAACTTCTTGAGTTTGACATGACAACACCCCAATGGACAACTTGAATGACGATAGCATAAGCAACTTTTGGAAGCGCTTGACAGTTGAGTGCTTTTACGGTGAGATGGATCCCCTAATTGCTATGGACTATGTTGAGGTGGTAGGTGGTTTATTTCTTGCAATTCATACTTGCTTTTTATACTCATTTTTTGTCACGAGATGTTTGATTGAGGTTTTAATGCATGGGTGAAGCTTTAACATGCTGATGTGGCCAGAAATTAAAACTTGCAAAGGATGCCATTGAGTTGCTGAGTTTTGCAAGGAGTTGCAAGCACTAATGGGGTGTTTTTTTAATCTTTGTTTGTTCATTGAATTGAGACTTGTGTTTGGGGATTGTCTTTTCTTTATGACATTAATTTGGTGAATTTTTTTTGTGAGACTAAGATGTTATTTCTTAGATGCTGTTAGGATTGTGAAGACACCATGGAAATTATCAACCTTTTGACTGACCAAAACCCAATCCAAGTCATTGTTGATGTTGTCATCAATAGGTATGGAAGTTGGACTTATAGTTTTGTATTTTATGTGAATTGCATTTCTTATATAGATAATTGGGTTGTCTTGAATTGGATCAATTAGTGTTGTTAGGCGTTAGGCTATTGATAATTAGGCTGTGGTGCATTAAACTAATGTTATGTATGATTTGTTGCCAAGGCTAAGGTCGGATAATGTTAAAGGGGGTGTTGTAGAAGAAGACGAAGAGGTTGTTGCTGCTGCTACTGATGTTGAAGGGGTGCTTGATAATTTTGAAGGATGGGGAAGTGGCTGAAGATAATGATGAAGAGGGAGGATGGAGGCTGCTATTATTTTGGGTTGCTTTAGAACATTTATTTCTTGTTTATAATGATTTGTTTTCCTTTTCACTTTGACTTTAATTAGAAATACACTTTCTTAGTTTAATTATCTCTTACTATAAAAGAGATGAATGTTGTATTTTCATCTAATTGAGACATTTCATATTTATAAAAGAGCAATTTAGTATTTCTTTCCTTTTTTGACTTTGAGTTTATTTAGTAATCTTTGTTAAATGGAATTAATATATGTTGATGCAAATAGGTTGTCAAATTAAGGAGAAAATATGAAATTAATATGTGTTGATGCAATTAGGTTGTCAAATTGAGGAGAAAAGATGGAGTTAATATGTGTTAATGCAATTAGGTTGTCAAATTGAGGAGAAATGATGGAATTAATATGTGTTGGCCATGATCACTTAAGCGACAACGGA